GATTGCTATAATATAATAACTAAATTCTTTTATCGTCTGAAATGTTAGACATGTTATTGAAATGTGTATATAATATATTAATTTAATAATTGTAATATAATATATTGATAGAATAATATATAATATTATTTAAATATGTTTATAATGTATTAATATAATAATTATTTAAATGTGGCTTATATAATATATTAATATAATAACATCATATATAATTACTATAATATAATAACTAAATTCTTTTATCGTTTGAAATGTTAGACATTATTGAAATGTGTATATAATATATTAATATGATAATACGTATGTGTATATAATGTTAATCTAATAATTGTAATATAATATATTAATAGAATAATATACAATATAATAATTATTTAAATGTGGCTAATATAATATATTAATGTAATAACATCATATATTAATATAATAATTACTACGTATAAAACATACTATCGTATGGGATCAAAAATATTGATATAAGTCACTTTTCATTATAAGGTCAATTTGTATCATACAATAGTATACATACGTGTATGAAAATTTACCTTCTGAAAATCTGTGATTCTAATTTACCTTTTGAATTCATACGAATATCACACAGTTAAATTCGAATCCGAAGTAAACCGTACCAGAACACTATTAAAAATCCTGAACTGAAGGTTTCAACAAACCACAACGACGCTGATTAACAACAATATCGGAACAGGTTCTCCAGGTTATCATTGAGAATATTGCTACGTTTTAGTTCATTTCTGTTAGCAGGTAGCGTGATTTGTTGAAATCGGCAACATTAGCTGGGAGAATTCTGTTCGTTCATGGAAAAATTCTGTTGCGCAACAAAGTGGTAGCATTGAGGAATGAATAATGGCTCGTAAATTTTATTTTACGATCCATTTTGGCTGGACAGAATAAAAAGAATGGGCTAAAAGCGGGAATAGAATAACGCTGTTTGGAATGGACGATGTTTCATACAGTTTCATAAACGATGTCGATACATTGCACAAACGAGTTCATGACGTTTTCGATCGATCGGTATTGCTTGTAGACGTTATAGTGGTAGACAATAAAAATATGACGAGCCGTATTAATCAAATTAAAAATATGACGAATTGTATTAATCAAATGAAAAGAGATTGTAATTTAAACTTTGAAAGTTGCTTAGCTTGGACTTTTATAAATGAATATATACTTGTGTATATCTTTGCAATAAGCTCACTTTAAAAAAGTCCAAACAGCTAACGTGCAAATATATATACAAAGAAAAACTGGTTTCGTTGAAGTTTAATTAACTGAACCTTAAGAATATTCATTTCATTTTTAATGATGTTCAAAAACGCAGAAGCATGTTTTAAAATAAATTAAAGCAAGATACAGTTTAATATTTAGTGAGATAAAGTCAGAGTTTTTTCATAACGAACCTTGGCGAAATTTTTTTTTTTTTTTAGAAATTATTTAATTATTTATTGTGCAACTCGAGCGATTTAACTGGAAGCAACGAGTCATTGATGTGCAACTGGTTCGAAAGTGTTGACTGTTGGCAAACGCGTTTAGAAAAATTGCTTCGAGCGAAATGAAATAACACGAGCTGAGGTAAAAGTGAAGAGTGGAACAAAGGATGTATCATATTAGATCTTTTAACAATTTAATTGACCGTGTTAACCGAGAATTGCCAATCTCTATTGGATAAAATAACTCCTAAAAAAATTCATTTCTCTATTTTTCCACATTGTAATTTCCATTGTTGTGTATTAAAGATCTTATTGTATCACGCTCGCGTATCCAACGACTAAATGAATTAGCTAGGCATATAATTTTAGATAATTTGAGATAATTTCGACATGGCTGATACCAAAATTTAGGAAATAACTTTCGAAAGTGATACAATAAAAATTGACTCGAAGAAAATATGTACATACAATTGATTCAATTACAGAGGAAAATAATGGCCAAAGTGCTATTCATGAGAGACACTATATATGTAAATTTGAAGTACAAAGTCATTTAACGAAAGTTTACGTCCATTCGTCTAAATTCAAATCATCCAGGGTTTACCATCCTCGGCACTGACGAAAGCCGTATTGAAAGACAGAATTCAGGCCCATATTTTCATCAGCGCATAAAGTTGTCGTCTCTCGGCGAGGCAGAGTGCACACGAGGCTGCTATGCACCTCGTGGCATTCAAAATACCATTACTTACGGCACGAACGTCCCCAACAAACTCCTGAGAAAACCACCTTTCGCTCGACAGACAACCGCTGTAGGACTTTCGTTCCTTTAACCCAGTTTCTAATTCGTGCGACAGTAATTGCGTCTTCGCGTGAAGATGCGTCGATATTATGATGCTCGAATGATTGTCAAAGACGATGACAAGCCGGCCGATTGTCGTCAACTTACATACCTTGTAAGATGTGAGATGGTAACCTTGTTCGAAATGGCCGGCATTTCGTAAGAATTGGAGCAAACGCGTGGGATTGCAGCTGATCCGCGACTGTAACTTGACTTTGAGGGACAGATTACGCGATGGATATTTGTTTGGCAGTTAAGGCGCTTTTTGCAAATAAATCGCTTGTTGTTACGCATGAGCGAACAGATTGGACGACCGGTCGTTTCATTGCTATCTGCTGTATATCCAGAGGCTGGATATTTCAAGTTGGTGATTACATATGTATGTAGTAATAATGCAGGTAGCCGCAGTTGGTTAAAATGGTGGCCGATAAAGCTCGAAAATTTCTGGTCATTGGCGTTCGAATAGGAAACAGCGATTTTTTTTTTTTTTTTAATACATGATATAGGATTATGTAACAGCGGTGATTGAATATCTTAGAAAGTTGATTCTAACGTATCGTATACTTCTTTTATCCCGTTATAGTATTTAATTTCAAAGGTTTCGAAAATTAATACACCAGTTAGATACGAAAACTATTTAAAAGTTTGGAATTTTTTTTTTTTTGTATTTATATATTGAATTTATTCGTATTAATTTCAGGTACGATTTCGTAGTTATCGGAGGTGGCAGTGCAGGTGCAACAGTTGCGGCACGGTTGTCGGAAGAGCCACGATTTTCGGTGTTACTGTTAGAAGCTGGCCTGGATGAACCAACCGGGACGCAGATACCTTCGTTCTTTTTTAATTTCATTGGGACTAACATCGATTGGCAGTACAACACCGAGAGTGAAGATACTGCGTGTCTGAACAAAGATGATCGGAGGTGTTACTGGCCTAGGGGTAAGGTATGTATCCCCTAAATTTTAACAAGTTTAAAACAATCTTCAATCTTTTGCGATTTTTATTCGAGACAACAATTTGCTTAGATTACATGTTTAGGATCATGTACTCTTTCATATCTACTTTCACGTGCTAATACATTTAGATGTAACATTTGATTTCTCTTCCACTGTATTACACGCACGCAATAATCGCAAATTTCATAATTTAATATACTGTAAATTTAACAATTATATA